AAAACAAATATACGCGATTTAAATCCGGAAAAATAGTTTCATTCCTATGTATAACAATCGCGAAAACCTAAGAACTCGATAAGTAAATATTTTTGGAATTGGAAATTTAGATTATTTTTATGTTAACAAGAGGCAATAGGTGTGTCAGCTGGTGCTGCCCCTGTTCAGGACAGTCGCAGCGCTGCTTTTCAGTCAACCCCTTCTCCCTAAGAGGGAATATATTATTATTTATGTGTAAATATTTAAATTGTGACCTAATAATTTTAATGCAAATAATTTTTGATATAAATTAAACTACTCTTAATGTTATAGATTTTAAGACTTTCGTGGTTATTCACAAAATGATTATCACTAGTATCAGGTTTCTTACCACGGTATGACTTCTTTTTATTTTCCCGATATTTCGGAACGGTTGCACGCTCCATGGTCACGGGTTGACTGGACGGCGGCAGATGACAGCTTTATGAGCAGACATATCTGTCTACCCTCTTGCGCTGTCGACGACTACCTTCATCGCGATTTGTTGTGGCGTTTGTGTGAAAAAAGTGAGTGACAATGGTAAGAAACCTGATACTAGTGATAATCATTACTCTTAATGTTAATCAAAGCGTGCGTGTGCGTGCGTGCGTGTGAGCGCGATGTATATTGTATATTATAGTAGTAAGGTCTAATTGAAGAAATCCTTCAATGGCAAGAATTTTCAGCTAGCGTGTTTCAGATTTTCTGCAGCAACCTGCTTCTTAATTAATGCTGATATATATTTTTTTGTCATGTAAAACAAATTAGTTTACACAAATAGTTATTTGGTACTCGTAGCGACATCTGGTGCATAATAACGAACTACGCTGTCTTATATCGCGATTAGAAATCCTCTTCAGTTATTGGTCGATGATGCTGACGCTGACACTTTATAGCAATAGAGCTCTGTGTTGAAGAGTTCATCCAGGTTAGTACTGCCACCTTACCTATTTCTGCCGCCAAGAATTACTGTGTACACAGGCACATGGGACTTGTCAACTTATGTCTCAGGGAGACGGGCGCAGTAGCAGTGCCACACAGATCTTTGCGATTTAAAGCTCTGAGTGGCAGAGCAACTGTTGATAGGCGTGTAGCCCAACAGGCATACGACTTGTTCGTCCCGTCATTTGATATTATAATAAAAATAAAACGAGATTCGAACTTCCAATTGATAAGCGACCTTTTTCCACTGTTCGCTATGCTAGTGACGTGAACAGTCCCAGCAAGTGAGGCGCTCTTTAATCCGCCTGCAAACCAACATACAACGTGTTTTCGCTGCAGGTGCCAGCAGACAAAGCGCAGGCGTATGACACGGTGGTGTTCGCGGGCCCACCGCCCATGAAGCAGCGACTCTGGCCGCGCCACTGCGTGCAGGATACGTGGGGCGCAGAGCTGCATAAGGACCTCAAGGTGTGTACCACTCTCAACAAGCTTCTCAAAACTTACTGAATTTACGCGCCGTATCATGTCATCACAGGAAGTTCTCCAATTTGTTAGTAAAGTCAAAATAATCTTTATTTCATAGGTAAGCACATTACACAGTAAATCGTCTTATTGATAATTCGTAAAGTAGATTCCCCTGAGAAGAATGAGCAAGAAACGCCATGTATTGCTTTTTGTAAATATACATTTGAATACATTCATAAATCGAGATAAACTACAAGAGCTAAACGGGTTGCTTCTGCATATTTGGATGACCAAAAATCCGTAGTGGATTTTTGGTCATCCAAGTATGCAGAAGCTGTATTAACCTGTAGTATAAAGTTTTTGTTTCACTATAGTTTTAAACCTCCTGAATAGCAAATTTGAAATATCAACCACATTCTTATTATAGAAGCGTATATATTGCCGCCTAAATGGATTTGTGACTTTGTGAAGACGACTATCAAGAACAGCTAGTTTGTTTTTATTCCTCATATTAATAAATATTAGACAACATGACATACGTTGCTCTGATCCTAAAGTAAGTTACTAAAGCACTTGTGTTATGGATCGGAAATAACGACGGTATCACGAACACCTAGACCCGGGACATTATAGAAAAGTTAGCTTTCTACACTGACCCGGCTAGGCATGAACCCGGGACCTCAGAGGCGACATCGTAATAACCAGTGTGCAAGCCACTCGACCACGGAAGTCGTAGATTCGTCGAGTAATGTTAATATGTAACTATTTTTAACCGACTTCAAGAAAGGAGGAGGTGAGACTGTTTGTAATTCGACTGCACCTTTTTTAAGTGTATATTGCGCGTTTCCGGAGTAAACGATCATTTGCGATCCAATATCGACGATTCTTTTTTTCGGTACGGGTCGGGTCGGGTATTGGTCCCATTTAAATTTGAAGAAAATATTCCACCTCTACGGGTATCAAACCTGGGAATAAATCCGGTTTCGCGTATTTTCCGGTAACTGATTAATAACTTTTTAATTTCAGTTTGTATGTACTTAATAGTAAGCAAACTTTGAATTCGGTTCCTTTTTTTTAATACAAATTGTCATAAATGTACTGTGACCCTAGTGTAAGAATGTTGATTTCTTTAAATTTATCTGTCAATTATACGGGACGGAATATATTTACTGCGTACCTTTCACAAGACGTCAAATCGTGAAATCTGTGTACGTTCAGCCGCACTATAACTCGGATTATTCCACTACGTGAGCAGTGCATAATATTTACCTTCCGTATTTTCTCCTTTCAGATAGTAGAGGGCGCTGTGAAGGTGTACAAAGGTACAAACCCCGACGTGGACTCGTATTCGGTGTTCTGGGACAACAAGAAACTGACGGACACGAGTTTGAGCACGCAGTTGCGAATGCGTGGTGCCACTGACATCTACATCTGCGGACTCGCCTATGACGTCTGTGTGGGTGGGTAACGGCATTCAGTACTACTTCATAAAAAGGAAAACAAACAAATGATTAACACTATGAAATCTTGATAGTGATTTACTGTAATTTAAAAAAATACGACAGTCGCCTAACATCTGAGCGAATAGAAAGTAGTATCTTTTCAACAACAGATGTCTTCTTTAACGCACACATCACAAACTTTATTTCGATTAAATACGTTTAAAATTAATAAAACACTCACGAAGCATTTGTACGGTAAACTTTCATCCGCTACTAGCGTGGAAAATTCGAGATGTTTACTTAGTTCCCCAAAAGATGTCGACCATATTGCTCTGGGATAATGTTTACTTGCGTTTGTTACACTACAAAAAATCAATTCGATAAACAGAGAATATTACTACACGGGTAATACTTTTGGTGCGGCTATAATTTTTGCACACCAAAACAGCACAACAAGGCATTTTTCTACGATTTTAGAGAATTTGCGTGATAGGATTGAGACAACAATACAATACAATACAATACAAAAATTCTTTATTGTACACCAAAAAAGGAAACAAATACAATACAATTAAATTAAAAATAAGCGGTGGATTGTACCACCGCTTATTGAGGGCGGTCTTATCGCTTTAAGCGATTTCTGCCAGACAACCTTTGGATGGAAGTAATTATATAATTCATAGGAAAAAGACGGTGGTGTATGAAGAATTACTAAATCAACAGATAAAAATTGATAAATAAATACAAATATACATATAAATATTATAAATAATAAAACCAATACATATATATGAATATCGTAAACTACTATATATTCTCATACTTATAAATATAAAAATTTCTAAAACTTAATTTCAAAACATAAAAATACCTAAGCAGTCCAGGTCACACTAAATTAAGGTAGTGTACTTTAACCATATTTTTGAATATATTCAATGATTTCGCTTGTTGAATAGACAAAGGTAAAGCGTTCCACAAACGAATAGCCTGAACAGTAAAGGACTTGTCGTAATACTGGGAGGTATGCAATGGCATCTTAAGTTGGAGAGTTGAAGAAGAGCGCAGAAGTCGGGGGTTGTATTGATGGGCGAATTCAAATCGCTCCTTAAGATAAGGTGGTGTGTGAGGAATGAATAAGATGCCATAGAGAAGATTAAGAATATGAGCATTCCGGCGAAGTCTAATGGGTAACCACTTCAGCTCATTGCGATAAATGGAAACATGATCAAATTTCCTCAGACCATAAATGAAACGGATGCAAAAGTTTTGTAGACGTTCGAGTTTGTTGAGCTGTTTTTCGGTTAAATCCAGATAGCACAACAACCTTGACCTTAACCAAAGATAGACAACCTTGCCGTACAAAGCGAAAATAACGGACTGAGCTCAAGTAGGCCTAACTACGCCTACTGTTGGCGCGCGTGTGACGCTAACTAACCACTGCTACAGTATTTATTGTTCTGTGAAAACACACACACTGCACAATCGTTTTAATGTTTTTGCTTTTGATGCACCGCAAGGCGCTACCCTCGAGGGTGGTGGCTGAAAATCAGTGCTCTGCTTTTGGGCGAATTCTGCACTGAACCTCGACCTATTTGGCTTGCTGCAGCGCACACAAGCTGCCGATCATTATTCGTTCGGTTAGTGTTTTGCTTTTTTATGTATTTTAGTTCAATGTCTTGTTCTTTGTTTTTATTCCCACCTTTAAATTTAATTCCTGTGCGTTTCTCTTTTAACCCATTCATTGTACTGTAACTGTTGTGTGTGTGACGTAAGGCAATAAACGTTTGTCTGTCTATTTATCCATCTAGTTAACATATTAAATAAAAAACCCTAATGCGAGTAACAAACAACTTAAACCAAACTTGTTTTTATAAGGGCTATTTCTATACATCTCTAGATTGGGAGTAGGGAGAGATAATTTCATCACTTAATACATGTAAACCTCTCGTACAAGCCGCACTGCTACATTTGCATGAATTTACCACTTTGGTCTTATTGTAATAAGGTGACGGTATAGATTAATACTATACTAATACAGATACCCAATCTCATACAAAGAAATGTCGCAAGTTACTTAACGCTGATCAATAGATGGCACCAAGTGAACCCGCGATGCTATTCTAATAATATTCGAAAAGCCCACTAGGTGGCAGCTATTACATTATTGTCAAGGTTTATTGCTTTTGCTCACGCGTTGATTATAATATGTTACATGTAATAAATGACAAAGAAGTTGAGTCTGTACTTTTAATATTTTAAAGTTAAAAGTCAGTGCTTAGTTTCGAGAATAAATTCAAAAAATTCAATATGTACAATTTATTGCAAACAAATCAAAAAGTATACGGTTGAGAAGCCTTCGATTTGTTATCCTTTCCACGTCAGTTCACTGTTTGTAACCGACTTCAAAAAAAAAGGCGGAGGTTCTCAGTCCGATTGTATTTTTTTTTTATGTCTGTTACGCGATAACTCCAGCCTTTGTGAACCGATTTTTATGATTCTTTTTTGTTGGAAAAAAGGTATCTCAGTATTGGTCCCATTTAAATTTGAAGAAAACATTCCACCTCTAAGGGTGGAAAACTAACTATTGGTTGCGCTCACTTTCCGGTAACCGATTTCAATAAAGAATGTATTGAATTTCCTAAAATGCTATGTTAATACTTTTGCACTTCCTTTTTTATATTTTATACTCCTTATTTAGTATGACACGTCAAATTCTAGAGATTAAATGCTTCATTTTCTTTATTTTATCAAAGTGTCGCCATCTACAGTTTTAAATAAGTATTAAAATAAAGTGCGAATTGGGGTACCATGGTGACGGTCATGTTTTGTAAATTTTTGTAGACTGGTCGTTTACTGTTAAGTGTATTCAAACCATACTTGCGCTTTTTGTTTCAGGCGCGACGATAGCGGACGCGCTGGCCATCGGGTACCGCGCCATTTTGATCGACGACGCGTCGCGCGGCGTCGACCTTGCCGACATCGAGCGCACGAAGGCCACCATTGTCGGCAACAACGGCATCATTATTAACTCAGACCAGGTACGCGCAGGGATGGGCATTGGGTTAAAAACATTACGGGAAAGTATTCTTACCCGTGTTACTACTGGTAGTACAACGGACGAAAATTATTTCCTGTGTTACTACTAGTAGTACAGCTGGGTCCGTTTTTACCCATTTCTTTCGGCGAATACGGAATTTAGTATAATTCTGTACTTACGAAAACGAAAACCACTTTGCAATCCTGTGGATTCTCACTACATTGCGTTTCGATTTTTGACAAAATCGATTCAAATGCATACGATATGACGATTTTTTTGTATCGATTTATTTCAAGCGAACATTTTGTGATAATATCAAAATCTATAATGGCAAAATCATAGTTAAAATAATTCGTTAGTATGTTCAAATGTCTTAATTACAAGTTTGAATAAAATAAATTCTTTAGGCTTTTTAAATTATAATAGCGGCCTATCTACGTCAGGCAATAAAATCATATTTAAAAGAAACTCTAATGACTAATTAGTATGTAATCGGACTGATATCTACAACTGTCAGTTTCTTAACTTTGAGCGACATCTAGCCGCCAAAAAAAAAATTTCAGTTCCTATTTATGGATATTAAGTTAGTTCACCTAATATCAAATGCACAAATTCGACACTATTTATAGTAAGCGATTAACAACTTCATTACAAAAAATTTAATAGATGATTCCTTCTCCAAAATCCCACGCGAGAAAATGGTAAAACTGACAAAAACGTTCCCCAAATCAGGAATGGACGGCACGTTTCACTAAAAAATAATAATTTGTATCCCAGTTACCATACTAGTACAAAAAAATAAAAGGCACTATTCAGCTTCTATTAACTCTGTTTAAGGCTTCTGTAGCTTATTTTGATATAACAATACACCGAATATATTTTATTCAATAACGTAAAACATAACCTCCAAAACTTGAAACTGAATATCTTTTTCACATACATATTTTGCATAAACAACGCATACCAATTATGTCCACAAAAGTTTATATGGGACTTTGCCATTGTTCTTTGAACAAAACTCGATTTACAACAAACATTTACTTGTAAATAGTTGTGCCCTCGATTTCGGGCGTTAATAGTTATTAACCCGATTTAACAAAGCGTCGGGAGAAAAACCCTCGGGATAAGTCCCTCGGATCTTTACCTTTTCATTGAGTGGCACTGCAACTGCGTGGTCGAACGGTTACTTTGCTGGTATGCCACGCAGAGGTCCGGGGTTCGATTCTCGGGCCGAGAGAAATATTTGTATGGCCTACATTTATTTCCATCATGAGTTTGGGTGTAATTTGTGGTTGTCAATGAGTGTGTGCATTATTTTTTTTAACTAGGGTAACCCTGTGTTACGAGTGTCATGGACACAGCCCATGGCTCAGAAATCGAACCCGGCAGAGTAGCATGGTAACCTATTTACTTATACAAGACCCGTTCGCAGCAGCGGGACTTAAAATGGATTGGTGACGATGATGTAATGAAATACTATGTGCAGGTGATCGCGATGGTGGAGGGGCGCGACCGACGGCCGGAGCTCGGCTACAAACTGGCTATGGAATTAAAAAACGCCATGGAGGATACCCAGTGAACAAGACACGGCCTTACTGCAATCCATTAGCTTCAAAAGCACAACCCAGACACGTAATTACTTTGCCAATCATGATTATTTACAAGAATTGAAATTGATTCAAAACTGCTATTTGTTATTCCGGCTAAAGCCTAAAATTGTGCTTAACGATCTACTATATAGTTTTATGCTCTTCGCCACAGTACAAATTTTATTATACAAATGAGCTTACTACTTAAGTTACTTTATAAAGAATATCTTAAATGGCATGTTTGAAAGTTACTTATCGTGTTACTTAAATTATTGTTACATTAGTAATTAAGTCACCTTTTCCTATTGTTGTATTCAATATCAATGGCAGCAAAAAATAACAGGTTATCAGCAAAACAACGACATTTTGAAAGTCACAACGATGCATCGAGGAAATTTAGAAAGCTAATATCTGACGGATATTCAAAAGATTATAATATATGTTATTCTGTCAAGTTTTTGCTTCCAAAACGCTCTACTGTAAAACCGTGATTTTGCAGATAACCGGTTACTCTTTGCTGTCGTCGATATAGTATTCTAGCGAACATTTTACGACCGCTCCATTTTAGAGTCTGACTCATGGCATGATAACGCGTAAAAAAATAAAAATTCATCGCTTTATACCTGCAGAAAGCGTGAAACAGCTGAAGGGAAATTTAAATGTTTAGTACGTTTCCCAACCGTAAGATGGCGTGTAAATCGAAATAGAACGCGCTATCAAAGTGTTAACGTTCGAAATTATACACCCTGCCCTGAATAACAATAATTATAGATTTTAAAAGCCGTCATATAACAATATAACAAATTTGATAACTTTTTGGGAAGGGTTGCTCCTTATAAAGGAGGGCTCTTTGTTTATATTGCTAACCGTAGAAGCACATGCATGGTGTCTGGAAGCGAAAGGGTTGACACCGTTTACTGTATCCATAACTATGTATCAATCACTTTCCTCCCGCTTTTGGGCACAGGGCTACAGATACAAATATCATTTACACCTTACGCAGAGAAGGAAAGTTAAAACCCAAAATCGTAGGCAGAAACCACTAATACGGAATTTGTTATAATTCCATAGTTATTACAAATTTCGGCGTAAAAAAGAAAGAAAGCAATAAACGTTTTGTAATATCATTAAATTTCAACAAAACTCGATTTGCGATAAATATTTACTTGTAGATCGTTTTTGCCCTCGATTTCGGGCATTAATGGATTTAAACCCGAAATCCGGGTGCTTGGCCATCTCTGACTCTACGTTTGTATTGCGTCATGTGATTAGCTCATTTTAATCGCAGATAGAAATTCAAAAACATTGTATTCATGTAGGCATATGTGCTGTGTGGATCCCATAGCCTTGTCGGATTTTTAATTAGAGATAACAAACTAAAAGCTAGTACTTAGGCTGATGGCTTAGCCAAAGCCTCAATAAATTTAAAAAAGCTACTAGAGAAGCTACTTTCATAGATCTCTCATACATGGCGGTACGGCTAAAAAGTCATTAAAAACCAAATACTAAGCTCCGACAACAAACAGAAAAATTCGTGAGTACCGCTGGTTCGTCCCGTGACTTAGTTGGCATAGCGTCTGGCACGGTTTGCTGGAAGACACCGGTTCGAATCCGGCCGGATTTGTTTTTGCAGTTGACTGTATTTGAAAAAATTTTTAGAGACTTTACCAGTAACCGGTTAAACAATATTTCATTTGAATATAGTCTCTTCTATCACATTTCTGTTATCAAATTCGTGACTTGTTATAATGAATATTATACAGGGTTATTAGTAAAATGCTAACAACCTCACAGGGCTATATTACTAACATAATAATCCACGACTTTTGTTCCATGAGTTAAAAACATAATAAATTTACCAATTTGTCGAGATATATTAAGAAAACATTAGGGAAGGCGATGTTTTAACACTATTGTTATTTCTTTGAAATAAAAAAAAACCTAGCAAATCTGATTAAAAATCCGTCTGTAGGCAATTAGTTTATACTATTGTACGTGACATAAAACAAAAAATCTCATATTCTTGTCATGACACGTTTCCTAATAACTGCAAGTTGTTTGTTATTTAATTTATTTAAATTATTTATTATTTTTACTGTAACGGGTTTATGTTAACTATTTTAACTTTTGACGTTCCTTACATTTTTATTTTATTTTTTATACAACGTTTGTGGTGCGGTGATATCTGATAGTTCAAGATATACAGGCTGTTTTGAAATAGTGAAACAAAATTTTACTGGGCCACATAATATCTTACTGGCTATTGAACACAAAAGACTTGTGGTCCTATGGATTTTTAGAGTTACTCAATTAAATTTCTAATTAAGTATATTTATTACAGCTGATTTTGAAATTTGTAAATTCTCACATTTTGAGATTTTATTGAGAGTAGATATGTCACCTGAAATATCATTTCCGCCAGTTAAATTACACCACGTATTTGTGTTATGCTTTGGAACGCTGGAATGGAAGCCAGCAACACCCAAAGTCTCGATAGAATAACTAATAATGTTGCTTGTTACCTCATTTATGACTATATTTTGCCTGTTTTGAAGATGGAGTAAAATAACATTCGCAGGGTTGTCATTTTCCCTAAAATTATAAATAGTCATGTAGTTGTTGTCGATAGTTTTATCGATGGATTGTGAAAGTAGGTAAAATTTTGCCAAAAATGTCTTAATTGTGAATGTTACGACTTTCTGTACTGAATTCTGATTCTTTATTCTTATTTCAACAGTATGTCTATTCGCATCGAAATAAATTGTTATTCATACACATTTTAATAACGACAAGCGGATTTGATTATGTATATTAAATTCAAATGAAAAGCTTTAAAATGTGTCTTATATTTGTATTTTTTTGTACACGTACTGCTAAACTTAGACCTGAGGCATATGAACCTGTGCCCAGCAGTTGGACGAATAATTGGTCGATAATGATTCAAATGAAACAAGTTCGGTCGTTTATTTCATAAGCGTAATCGACATTTAGTCAATAGTCGACATAATATTTAAAGACTCCAATCACTATGTGCATACAAGCGGGCAATACTTTTGCACAACGTACGGTCATTTTACTTCATTTTCAAAAAAGGACAAATACGTGTAGGTTGTAAGGAGATATCGGAATAGGCTCACCGACAAATAATATACTATGAAATCCCGGTAAAGGGAATCGGACTACTTTAAAAGTTTTTACCCATCGAGTATACAACTAGAAGTAGAGACGAAATGTCATTTAATTTGTTTGATAACTATTCTGCCATATCATTACCATGACAACTGCGCTCCGATTGGCTAGCCCGAACTCGAAACAATTGACGAGTGTCATCAAATTGTTTCGCTTCAAATCGGCCAGTTTAAGTAGAGCTTTGCTGTAATGGACGGAAATTGCAAAATTACATATTTAATCACCGATGAAATGTGATTCCGTTTGTTTTGTAAATAGATGTTTTTCTGTTTTTCCCCACACCACCGAATAGTAAGTACAGCACGCCATGGTTAGAGATATTATTTATTACAATAAATACAATTTCTTTTTCTAGTTGTTGGTGCTGTCTATATTTCAGTGCAAACGAGAGTTGATATTTATAAGTGTAAGGCCCTTATATCGTCTCTATTTCTTGTTATATACTCGATGCATGCACCACGTGTCAATTTTTTCTATTGTGTGTGTTTTTAACACACAGTGCTACTCGCTTTGATAAGTTTATCATTTTGAATTCCTTCTATCTGACAGGTCTCGAAAAGATCTGGTAAAAACAGCCACAGCTCGAGCCCAGCCGGATGGAAGGATTTTTTCATTATGTTTGATCTTTGTATTAACAATTATAAGTAGCAGTAGAGCTCCTTGCGAAAGAATCCGAGAGAAATACTGGCAGCTTACCTATTTCTGCCGCCAAACAGTAATGTCAGCATTACTGTGTTCCGGTCTTGAAGGGTAAGGGCGCTGGTGAATTTACAGGCGCATGAGACTTGTCAACTTATGTCTCGTCTCATGTCTATTTTTAAATGGCTTTTCAAATACTTAAGTACATATAGAAACACGACTACAATATTATTTTTAGAGACAAGAATTTATAGCAAATAATAATTTGTCGCCAATGTACTCAAATTTAATAAATAATACGCATATTAAAATATGATCAGTTCGGAGTTGTCCCTGGATTTGTGGAAACGAATGTCCACGTCATACTTTCTTTTAGGTAAATTAACTCCCTTAATCCAGATCACTGCTAATTACATGTCGGAGTTGACAACTAACATGGTATTATCTCAAAAATTGCGTTATATTATCTCATAAATTTCGCTATATTTAATTTCAAAGTGACAGGACAACGCTATCGCTTTGAAACTAAGAAGGTAATATTAATAGAACTTAATGCCGTTTTGAGATAATACTATATTAGTTGTCATGTGCGATATTAGATCTTTTCTGATTACTGCCCGCTTGCCAAAGGTAAAAAATCAAAACGGAATGGTTACATCAAAAATATAGAACATAATAAATACATTACAACAAATTTAGGTAAATGCCTATTTCGATTTCTCTACCAAAAATAATCTAGAATGATCCCTGTGACAGTTTATAAAACTACACCATGTAACTTTGCAACGACGTGCACTAATTTATGTATGAAATGCGTACCTTTTGTTGTAAGCCTCGCTTTTAAATGAATAGCCTTTGCTTAAGTAAATACATAAAATTAAAAATAACACCAAATCAATGTTTATTTGTGAGAAACGAGCGGGAAGATTATTTTTTTCAAATTTATTAATTTTTTTTACGTTAACGTGCAAATGTACGTCATTACACTTCATTTGCCAGAGATGAGGTATATCGATAAAAGGTATTTCGATAATTTCATTAAAAATGTATGGTGCGTGTATTCAAAGTATTAATTGTAATCGTAGGCAATGAATTGACATGTCAGTGTTATTTCTTTTTTGAAATCTACAAATTAACATAATGATATGTGTTTTTTTAAATTTACTAACATATTAATTGAAATTGCATTTGAATTATAATGTGTGTTCTATGACTTCAATAATTATATTGAAGGTGTTTGTTATTATACCTCGTTCATTCAGAAAATTAAAAATATAATGGGAACCTTTGTTTCAAAAATCAAATACACCATCGACTTTACCACATCCCTATAAGAAACGTCAATTGAAGTGTCACGGGGATGGTCCTAGCTTGTGTTTAGTTATATATATAAATATAAGTTATAAGTGTTTAATGGCTTGTTTACATTAATTTAGTATTTAGGTGAGTCTTAATTAACTGCCAGTTGAACGCAGCCGCGTTTCTAGTAGCACATAGTACTAAGATAACTGTCCCTAAGTGAGAGTTGCATAGTGTTAGAGAAAAATGCCTTATTGTACTTAAATGTGCTTCAAATATTGTTAAGAAACCAGTAAGTAAAGGGTTTTCCATCAAGGGCGGGTGGATTTTGACAGTTAACAGCGGCCATATTGTTGAAGCCCATCTGTTCGTTTCTATCCAATCTGTTGTTTATTTTTCTGTCACCAAAAACAAATCATGTCAAGTTACAGCGTTGAGCATAATGTGCAAATAATAAAAATTTATTATCAAAATGGGTGTTCTGTTGTGGCAACGACTGCCTCGGGTTCTCCTGAACACTCTCACAAACAGCGGCAATGTTTTCGGCAGATCTCGCGTTTCGTTGATGATTCATTGAACGGGTCGACTCGAAATTGGCCACCAAACTTGAATAATCGACTGGGAATGATGACCACGTAAACCGTAACATGGGCGCATTAGTACACAGTACTAAAAAACCGACTCAAAAGTGCTTGCAGTTACACGTATTTCCCAAGTTTTATTGAAACCGGTTACCGCGAAATCGGATCCATCCCCTAGTTTGCCACCCTTAGAGGTGGAATATTTTCTACAAAATTAAATGGGGCCTCTAAAACAGAGTCATCAAAATCTGTTCACAAATTTTATTCGGAGTTATCGCGTAACATACATACAAAAAACATACCTACAGTCGAATTGATAACCTCCTTTTTTTTTAAAGTCGGTCAAAAAGCAACCTCACCAATTTTGCCGCTATGAATTGTCAAAATCTACCCGCCCTTGATGGAAAACCGTTTACTTACCACAAAAATATTTTTGCACCGACAATCGTAGAACACTAGACATTCCTGTTGTATAGTAATTGTAAGTAAAGGTTTGTAAGTCATATGGAAAGCAGTTGGTACTTGTTTAGCAGCTGTACAGTTTCTGGTTAGAGTTCGTTCAGGGCAGTGCCGCCACCACACCTAACCAGTAACCCTCGCGTTATTTTAATATGGTTTTGAAGGATAAGAGTGCTGGTGGAACCACAGGGACATGGGACTTGTCAACGTATCGTCGGGGAGGGATGCACTTATGCGTAACTAGCATTTGATTATGAGTTTCTATTTCCGTAACCAAATTGTGTGTGATTTACGGGAATCTATTGTTCTTAGCAGCTTGATTTTGATTGCCTCTGGAACACACAAATTAGAAATATATAGTAGGAATCAGGTTCACCTTCTCGCTCAGAAACTCATCTGATTTCGAGACTACCAGGTCGTATCAATTCCGGTTTGAATCAAAATCAGTACGCTGTAAACAACATAAATTAATGCTTACTGTGCAAATGCAAAAATGGAGGTCGTAGCCATTGAACTAACAAAGTAACGTTAAATCCCTCTCCTGTGAAATATGTGCAGGTGGCACTGCAACTGTTATGGACAGGCGTGTCACTTACCACGAGACACATCGTCCCGTCACTAGACGTGTATTATAAAAAAAGAACTTTTCTGGACAAGTACCTCTACTGCTACTAAAATTGCGTGGTAGTGTCCGTCAGGTATTTGCGATTTAATGCTTCAGGGTGGCACTGCAACTGTTATAGATAAGTTTGTCGCTTAGTGACGCACGACTTGTTACATAAAAAAAAAAATTAAAAAAGCGGTTCCGAGGTCTACTGTTGGTACCCCTGTGGAGGCATGTACCTATGTACATAATACATAATATAATATTTACTAGCAACACTTGTGGCCAACGATGAACAAACCCATTATCTTGTTTTATTAGGGACAAAAAACAACAGGACAACGCTAGTAACAAACGGTCGTATGTACTAATTTATACATAATTAAGTACTACCAACAATATCATCCACGAATTACTATAAAAATGATAATAAGAATAAGAATAATTCCAGTCAATCATGCTATGTACTCAGTGATTCTGTAACAGCTGCTCTAAATTCAATATTTGAGACGTCTCTTGAAATGCCTAAATCCCTAAAACGACAGTTGTACAGAGGTTTCTGGTGCAGAGGGCGTATGTGACACCAGCTGCTTTCTATAAGAAATAATGGATGAACGGGAGGTTGCCTTCGCAGCGTTGGAGGCGATCGATGGTGATAGTTTGTTTACCTCGTAGGTTTGTGATAGACGCATTTGTTTTCTCTATTTAACGGTGATGCACGGAATAAAACGAACCAAAACATTTTGGCGTTTACTTTCATTCCTCTCCTTGTAATATTAAGGCTCAATTTACATTGCAGCGGAACAAAGTGAAAGCGCATAATGAACTTTCTGGTCAATTGAGTTCCATTCCGTTCTGCCGCAATACAAATTGAGCCGAACTGGCACTGTAACTGCTATGAACAGGCACGTTAAATCTATAAATCCAAAAATGCACAATTTAACCGAAAATAAGAATAGTTTATTGCGTAAGCGCCGAGACACACGTGATCTTAAAATCAAAACATAATTATAATGATTAAAGAAATAATAATAACAAACGCGTGTCGCGGCGCACGCAAACGGGATTTGCTCAGCTATTAGCTACAGGCTGGTTTGTAAAATAACATATCGTAGATAAAAAAAAACGTGAGTAATTTACAAAAAACTTAAAATCATTCAAGTAGTATTTTTAAAATTACCGGCAAAGTATTTATCGACTAGAAGAGTTAATCGGCTTCGTATTTTCAATATGTTCCATTACAATTACTTTTTTCCATCTGACGTAACTTCATCGTGTGCAGTTGTGAAAATTAACATTAATGTTATATTGCGATTATCACACTGCCCCACGCAGCGGAGTGCGGTACGAGAGACGGATCACGCGTGCGGTGACGGAGACGCACAGTTCTGCGTCAACATGCGGTTGGCCCCGCGCCGCATAAAGCGCACTTAGCAGTTGAATACTTTGACAAAATGGCTAATAACTAATAATACAGAACTCAGAACATTCAGGACGCTGCAGTTATAATGTCTATTTGGTTCTTGAGGGGTCAAATAAAAGGACATCGTATTTGTCACTTCTTCCCATTGCCTATTTAGACTCGGTTACCATATTCTTAACAGTTTATGTTCCAAATTGCTGGCTGAACAACATTTCAAATATAAATTCGTCGACATCGAAGTCCTTTGCAGATAACTATACCATGAATATGGCCTTACGCATAAAAATCTGCACAGTAGTGCGTAGCGAAGTATGCCATGCCATACTGGGCTGCGGTGCTGTACGGTGCGTGTTTTCTATACATACTGAGATACTTCGGAACAACGTTAAAAACACAATTATCACACTGCTCCGCACACTGTTGCGTGCGGCGTGGCAGTGCGATAATGGCCTTAGTGTAGGTAATTAACTATAAAAGTGATTTCAATTATCATAAATGTTAATGAATGATAACGTAAACATATAAAACATTTATTTATTGTTTTATCGAATTAAAAAATATATAATTCGCCACTACTACGTCGTAAATTTATGTCGCTCTAATTTTGTCGACCTGTCATTCTAGTCATGGTAATTTAACCGGAGTATAGTGGACTAATTTCACAAAAATACATGAAAATCATGAAAACATCATCATATTCATAACCGTTAATAAGACTGTTGTGTACAGTCAAGCGGACGTCAAACTTGACACTTTGTACTTTGGACCGTTCTTATCGTGAGTGGCATAGAGTTAGATTTAAGTCTTAAGTGTCAAGCTTGACTCTTGGCCTTGTACAATTGTTCAGCATTTTATTTTTATTTCATAATCATATCCCCGTAATCGAGATACCAATCCGCGATGGTGGTACCCACAAAGATATTAACATGTAAGTACTTAGTGCATTTGACAAAGATTATATCACTGTTGTAGCACGAAAATACTGTGCTGAATATCTTAATTTTTCCAAATTATGTTTCATATCTATAGGAATAACTAAAATAATAATGTGACAGCCCTACCCTCCGAGTGACGTGAAGACATTGACGCACCGAACGAGCACGAGTTGGATTACTTGTACTTGCTTATACTATGGTTTAGAACTGGCGCCAGTCGCTGCAACAGTGTAAATCAGCCATATCTTGGAGAAAAATGTGGGTATATCGAAAAATACTTCACCAAATTCACAGATGCTAGCCTAACGAATGAAAAAGCTGGTCTTTTCTTAGTGCTATTAAAAAATACATAAATTGTTAGCAAAAAGTGAATATTATTAACTGAATAGTGACTTCATTAAATTAAAAATATGGAAGAATATGCATTCGAGACAAAAAACGTAAGTTTTTTATCAAATTTAAATAACACTATTGGAGGTACCGTAAAACTACTAAGATATTTATTTTCAGGTTGCATTTTGAACCATATTCCAGCTAGATATCGTACTTTAATTACGTATTGTTTTATAGATTTCTCCTAAACATGTACGCCGTTAATCTTGTAGTGTACTTATTAGCATCTAAGGTAATGAATGTCCTAGGTACAGGTAGTTAAAAAAAACATAAGCAAACGTGTTTTAGCAATTTCAACCCTTAATCGGAGGGTAATGATGGATTGTTTGATTTTTTCTGGTTAAATATACAAAAAAGCGTTTCATAGGTGGATAATATATGACCATTGTCTGATAACAGTACCAAAAACTGGCAACTATGTGGCCATTGTCTGAACAAGACTCAGGAAACTATTTAATAAATTTAGCAGTTTTAATCGATATAAAACATAAATGTCTTGATATGGGTTAGAGTGGCAAGATTGAAAGTCTTTGCTACTTTCGTATGTAGCAAAACGGTAGTTTCTTTACAATTTACGTGTTATCTCGTCGGAAAAAAGATTGCTGAAGTACTCATTGGGCTGGGTCTCATGTGTATATGACATCTTTGGACAGAACTTTGGTGTAAACTGGGGTTTACGATGAATAATTTTTTTTAATTGTCCAGTCCTCATTAGTTCTTTCTGGTTTCGAGTAGGTAAGTTACAATTCAATGATGAAGAAGCACTTGCTACAAGTGTTATTGTCAGACACGTTGCCAGTGGTAATATTGGCACCTATTTCTACCCCATCATACCTACTCCTCAAGCACAGTCATCACGTTCACAGCATCGTCAGTATTTTGCGAACTACCCCCAAAAATGTTTTGTAACCTGCGGTCAATAAAGTCGTCGTTAGGAATTTCTGTTATAACGACTTGAGGAGAATCAATACGCGACCAATTTTCTAAAATGTTCACGAGTGCACGGTCAGACAGTGGCCTATTCGACGCCATTTTTCTCTGTAAAAATGAAAAATTTGCTCTATAACTATAGAAAGCAATAATAAATTGTACAAAATGAAAAAAAAAAATACGATAACAAACGGACAATGGTCACAGCCACATACTTTTAACACATTTTTTGAATACACATTTTAATTTAATAATATATCCACCTGAATAAATAGTAGTTTTTATCTAAAATACAGGATTCCTCTAGTTCAGGTATATGTGTTATATTTTACATTTATTCGTATAATTAGTCTTTAGTTACACATTTGTGCAATAAGTTATACAATAAACAATTTCGTTATTATATTACGCTTTTGCAGTCGAAAGTCTACAATCGCGGTCTGGATAGATTTGTTTTTCCCCGTCACGTAATCTATGACAAACGTATGCGACGAGAATATATTAACACTCTGGAGAGAGTAGATATTTGGGTAAGTCAAATAACAGTCTTTACTAATAAATTAAGGACCCTCCTCACTCAGTTCACTGCTTTTTTTATAATGCCAAATGGCGGAACGAACAAGCGGTAAGCGACACCCCTATCCATAACAGTTGCAGTGCCACTCAGAGCTTTAAATCGCAAAGATCTTAGGGGTGCTGCCACTGCGCCCGTCACCCTGAGACACAACAGCCCCATGTGCCTGTAATTTCGCCAGCACCTTTCCAAATCGGAACGCAGTAGATGATGAAATACACAAAGGAACACTGCTGCACTGGATATATCCATAAATTCTCCCTAATTATTCACGGTACACAATACACTTAGTACACAGATAGTACTTTCTTTTCAGAATGCAAAGTACCAGCAACGAAAGAAATTCAAGAACCGCTTTATCGGCGAGTTAGGTTTAAAAGATCAATTCAAACTTCCTAAAGACGAAGAGAGCGAGCCGTCATGGCCTTGCGTGCCTAGAAAACGGTCATATTTATCCACGGCTTGTAATATTTTGAGCCTTCCCAATTACAGTTATGCTCGTTGTAAGTTTTTTTTTATTGTTTATTTAACTAGGACCTTTATCGCTTAGCGATGATGCCAGGCCCATCGTTACAGATCGTCCTTAATTCTACTTAGATCTATTTAACTTGAGTATTAACTTATGTATACATTCCATTGGCCAGAATATCATGAGGCTTTGTTAATAGCTCACTTTACACGGTCAGTCTATCGCGCGTGATCAGGCCCTGATTTCAATTCAAGATCAGCAGCTTGATTATGATTGCCTCTCCCGATCGGAAACCGCGTCTTTTCCGAGTCGCCTGCACACTCAATCGTGCACTGTGTGTGTGTGTTTGAATTTTTTAAGCTAACGTTCTTTGGCGCGCGATTATTCGTGTTTGTTTTCGTCACAACGGAAAGAGCGTCCGTGTAAAGGTCCTCTTTCCTTACTACTTTTTGATTTCTGTATCATGCACGCGTGATAAAATTTCTGTGTAAAGCCCGCTATTAATGAGGTTAAAATGCCAAAATCTGTTCGTCTGATTCCAACCTCAGTGGAAATTAAGGCCCCGCGTATATCAAAAAGTGGGTACATAACATGTGTAGAGATTCAGTTCCAGAATATATTATTCCTATGATCTCGTACCTAAACTGCATTCGAAAGAAAGAAACGCACAAGTAGTGAATTCTGAATTCGGTGATAAATGTGTTTAAGTAACTGTTAGGTTTTTCTGATAAAAAGAATTGTTAAAATATACGTTTCATATGAAGTAGTTTCTTTATGAAACTTTCATTGTAATTTAATTACATTTATTTTAAAAGAAAGGAAGAAAATGCTGCAACAAAACAAAATAACTGTATAAACACAGGCATATTCATATAAAAACACTCCATACTTGAATTACATACAGGTTAGACATAGTAAATAAAGGAACTTACCCCAAAAGGGCTTGTATTTATGCAAACATTATGTTCTACATGCAGTTAAGTTACATGATTTTCAATGTAATAACTGGTCAGAATTTGAAATGTAGTCGGGCACGTCTGCTCGCTTCGGAAATTTAGTAGAGAGTGGCGACGAAACGGAGAAAAGTAAGAGTGACGAAGAGAAGGAATTAAAAAACGATTCGAAATTTTTACGAAGTTTTAGGTAGGTCAGGAACCAGAGAAAATGGTGACAAATTGGCGGGATGACGATGGACGAGTCGCATTGTCACAGGTTCATTCGGGTCTCCGCACACATATACAGCCTCCCAGAGCATGGAAGTCCCAGAGCATGATTTAAAGTTAAAAGTGGGGTCCATTTGTATGTAAATTCGTAACATTAGTTTTTCCGATGGATTACTTAACGGGCCTAAAGTCATTATTGTTTAGAACAGTTCGTAAAACTGAATCGCACTCTTAATACAATAGTGTATTAACTCAAACAGAGGACTTTCTCAGAAACGATGAAAAACGAATTACTCACTTCCCGCAAAAAATAATTAAAATTTATGTATGTTATAGTTTATTATAGACACTTAAACAATTTCTCAAATATATTTATAAATGAAATGGAAAAAATAATTTCATGTTTCTGAATAAGGATTATTTTGAGTTAAGTAGATATCTTTTGATTGTTTCTTACAATATTCTAACGACAGTTATTTGACGTGTACAGAATCAAATTTTACATTCAGTAGTGATATAATATTAAATTTCACATATTTTGAGTTACAACACTATTATAATAGCATGTCTGTGGGTCGGTCCCCGAGTCGTATGAACTTACGCAAATACAAGTGCATCTATGAATGTACTTTTTACTTCAAATATTATTGCTATTTATTTGTAAGTCAATGTTGCTAATGCTTTTTCTTCAGTTCCAGAGATCATCGACTGGAGTACGGGCAATATCATAGTAGTGGGTCTGGGCAACAATTATCATATGTTCAGCTGGCAAAGCCAGAGGCTGACAGGTCACGGTGTTACCGGGAGTAAGATTAACTGCTGTAAGTTTAATCCACGTGGAGACGTGTTGTTGGTAAGTATTTATGTGAAATTATTGCCTCCGTGGCCGAACGGTAAACGATACACATTTTTCAACTAGCTTTAACTTCAAAGCCAATGCCTCTACCGTTCGACTAAACCGAATTTTTACTTTTTTTTTCAATCATTTATTCATTTGGAACACCAACAGATTACACAGAAAGAATAAGATTAAAAAACAAAATGTTGTCTGATAACAGATACCTATCCACATCACTCAATATATCTCAATATATACTTCTTCTATTTTTTTCTATCTTCTAAGATATATATCTAAAATATATACCCAGATACAAAAATAATAATAAAATAATCTCAGTACAGAGTACTAAAAAAACCGACCTCAAAAGTACGTGGAATTACGTCTATTTGCTAAGTTTCATTGAAATATCCCCTAGTTCGCCACTATACAGGACTTGATACTGGAAATAATAAAAATAGGTTCTCACTACGACACTACTCAAAGTATATCGAGAGAAAAACGCCTTGAATTGGAGAAATAGCAAAATCAACAAAATGATTGCTAAAAGTAATTGCTCCTAAATTAAAGTTAGGCGCTATTTATAAAAATGAATCTTCATGCGTAAACAGCCACCCTGTGGATGATTTTCTTCAAAATGAAATGGGACCACTATGGAAGACTTCCAACAAAAAAGAATCATGAAAATCGGTTCACAAATACCGGAGTTATCGCGTAACATACATACAAAAATAAAAAAGAACATACAGTCGAATTGAGAACCTCCTCCTTTTTTGAAGTCGGTTAATAAAAATGAAAACAACATTGAATATTAATAATCCAATTATTCAATAATGTATGTACTAAAATGTAAGGTAAATAATTGATTATAAGAACGGAATAAATAGTTGATTGATGTAAGTATGGCAGTGCAACTTAGGAACACGCAATCAACATTTAAATTTATAGAAAGAATCATTAAATTATTGATCGTGTTTTATGAACGACACATTTTTTTTTTTTACTTTTTTTAATAATTTGGCTGGCGTAGTATCGAGACTTAAAATAGATTTGCTTTCAGATAGGAACAAATGCTAACTTCGTGGAGCTACACGACGAAACATTGGTCAAAAGCTCTCCAAACGCTTATTGCAAATGTGCAACAGTGGGCCACGACATCTGTACCATCACCAGCATAGATTGGAGCCCTACCGGCAACTCTTTCGTCGTGTTAGTATCTCCTATTATTACACATGCTACAAACACTGCCGTGCTTACGACAAGAACAGTAGGCGCGTTTATCTCACACGAATTTGGTGTTCAGAGACCGAACTGTCATAGCAAAATACGCTGTTTTTATTGTACCTACCCACTTTTTATTATCGCTACCTACCGTCGACCTTCAATTGAAAAGCAACCATTCTCCCATCGCTTTACTAAATAAATAATTGTAATTTCCAAGTCTCAGTCATTGTGCATTCGGTTCTGGACGGCTGCAGACCGCGGGCAACTCTATGAGCGCGTGCTTAGGTTCCTTTTTCCTCGTTACTGAGATTTAGTAGGTTATTACAGCGTAGGTATTTTCGATTTTATGTGAGAGTGATGTATCTGTTACGTAATCTGTGGCTGTAGTTTTATTTCCAATAGATAATTACTCACCGTCTGGAAAATCTTAACTTAACAGAGGCTGTTCACAAGGGGCAGTAAGTGCGTTTGACCAATTTGGACTCCACTGCAGTCGCTGGAAAGACAAAGGCCGGTCGGACATCATAGCGGTGAGGGTGTCTCCCGACGCTCGTTACGTTGCCGTGGCGTCCATGAAGTCCGCCGTTGTGCATTTACTATTGTGGCCGTCGTTGCAGTACTATTCCAATGTGGACGTCGATGATTCGTATGTCAAAGTAAGTTTCTAGTTCTTGTTCCAATTTCTTTGAGCAGTTTTTCATGAGTTGCCGAGTTGAAACCAAAAAATACCTATGTCAATAAATGTAGAATGACCTTGCAGAATCCTCATTCAATTCAGTCTACTCTTCTTCTGCGTCCCGTTCACTACCCTTCATAATGCAGAAAACGTCATCAACATATAGTTTCCATAACTGCACTGCAAATGGTTGCAGATCTATACTGGCCTCAAAGTGTTCCATCCAGATATTTGCCATGAACGGGGCTACAGGGCTACCCATGGCAACACCGTCGACCTGGAGATAATGCTTCCCACGATACAAAAAGTACCTGCCATCTAAACAGTTTCGTAGCAACACCATGATTGACTCCAACATCTCACTGTCTCGAAGCCTCTTCCTAATAACCTCAGGACATTCTTTTACGGGAACATTGGTGAAAAGTGATTCTACGTCAAAACTCACCATTATATCGTCCGGATCCAGCTTACTCTCCTTGAGAATGTCTATAAAATGACGAGAATCCCTCATAAAGGACGACGTTCTACCTACAAGCGGCTGCAGCACTGATGCAACTTTTTTTGCAAGGTCATAAGTGGGGGAGGTATTTTGATTTCAATTGGCCACAAAGGCACACTGGTTTTGTGTACTTTAGGCAATCCGTCCAGTCGAGAAACGTTTAAAGAGTCTACAAACGAAATTAATCGATGACTTTTTTAAGCTTAAATGGGAGTATTATAAAATTTCACATTATGCGTAATTTGTTTCATACAATTAATATTACTTTTACGACTTTCATGTGACAAAAGCACTTTTAACGTATGATCACATGTGACTTTGTTATACCAAAGGTACGATAATTATACTGTGTAAACGTTGACAAAATTTTATTTGTAATGTGTCGATGATGCAAACGATGGCCTAAGATTCAGAGTGCGAGTTGCGGGAGAACTGCTTTTCTCGCTTAGAGAATGTGGTACTGTCGCTCTCACGCAAGACGCGACTCGTTTTTTGTAGCTAAATTAATATCAAGTGACGGGGCGAACAAGTCGTGCGCCTGATGGTTGGCTACACGCGTGTCCATAACAGTTGCAGTGCCATTCAGAGCTTTAATCGCAAAGTTCTGAGGGGCACTACCACTGCGCCCGTCACCCTGAAACATTAGTTGACAAGTGCCATATGGAACACAGTAATGCTGACATTACTGCAGAAGTAGGTAAGATGGCAGTACTTTCCTGCCGAACTCTTTCACAAGGAACTCTACTGCTGTTAAAGTGCTAGCCGTGCTGACGACCACCTAACCAACCTTTTGGTTCGGGGAGCTTTTTTATGCACTCAACAGAAATTTGAAAAAGAATTCCCGCGTTTTGGTTATAGTTTGTATTTATGCAATGCTATTAAAGGTCAAATTGGCTTAGAAAGTTTCTTAACACGTCATTCATTAATGGTGCAATAAAGAAATCATAACAATAAGCTTGTTGAACGCCTATCTTCACACTGATCTACTCAAAACCAAATCGACGGGCGTCAGGTCTACAACGAAATACGATATACTGCGTGACAACGAAGCTCATATGACGGCTATCGTATCTAATTTTGACATTATTTTCATAGTCAAACTGACATGTGTAATACGTATGAGCTCCATTGTCACTTTGCATGTCGTGTTAGCCGTCCAAGTATTTTAGTGTATCGACAGTGCAATACCATAATTAAGGCATAAAACGGGGTGTTTTTATGCATTTGCAGTCTGTAGTCTGGCATCCCTGGCGCAGCGCGCTACTGGGAGTGGGCGTAGCAGTCTCCGACTATCGGACAATAGTCATCATGTGGGACACCCCATCGAATAAACTGCACACAGATCTCGCAACCTACTACAAATACAATTTAGATTGCATGCTGTTCAGCCACAGGACTGGAGAGATGGTGCTCAGTTTGTGGGACCCAGGTACCGGACCTTAGTGCTTCAACGATTTAATTATCCTTCGCCTTTCAAGTATCGGGAGACTAGACATAGGCTGGGGTGACATAATGGTTCGTACGAAGAGTTTTACTTTCAAATTTATATGGCGAAAAGCTATAGAGTCGAATTCATTCATTGCAGACTTGTTCCCTGAGTGGTATAACTTGCGCCTTTTCAAAGCGAGATTGAATAGGCATTATTTTATTTATTTTATTTTACAATATTAGGGAAACTAACAGCTAGGTATTTAAATAGTTACAAAAATAATTATTGATCGCCAATTACAAGTTTCCATAGATAAGTTAAGAGTTAAATTCTACGTTAGAACTGTATACAAACGTTGAGAGGAAAAATAAATCAAAAAGATAAATTCTAACTTGAATTACCTTTTAAGGAAAAGAATGAGAAAACTGATTAAAGAGTAGTTGCTTAAGTTGGTTTAAAATTTGACTTCTAGCCAGGTCAGTGCAACACCCGAAGGCTTCTACGCAGTTGTTCGTGATAAGTGACCCGACAACGGTAGTGGACCAGTCGGGCGATGGCCGCGGCGACGTGGACCGCGTGCAGACCATGGTGTTTAGCCCTGACGGGACTAAACTGGGTGATTATCGAAATTTACAAGTCTGTTATGGAATTTTTATGTTTAAATTTTCTTCTACTCATTACAAACAATTTCGGATTTCGGGGTTCGGATCCGGGGGTTACCACCTCTGAGTTTCTAGGAATTTATGTGCGAAACATACTTTGAAATTTATCATGAGCTTTTCGGTGATGAAACTTGCACGTCTAAGAAGATTAACTACCCTCGGAAAACGTGTCAAGTCCCCAACCCGCATTGGGCCAGTGTGGCGGACTACGGTCAAAACCTTCGCCTGAGAGGAGACCCCCCGCCCAGCATTAGGACGTACACATGGGTTGATCACGTGTCTTAGAGACAATCTTGGTACTGCACCGTCCTGGAGCAATACGGTGTTTCTAACGATAACGGGCAGCTGTGTTTTCATTCGCTATAAAAAATATAGTGGGTAGTGCACGTGAGTGCGAATGACGGTTGCGCGAAAGCTTAAATGCGCGATAGTTCATTTGCACGAATGGCTGCAGGTTGTTGCGATTCATTGCAATGCAAAGCTTTCATAATAAACTATACGTTTATTTTTTTAAAGTTTATTACGGTGTACTTGCAACAATCAACTTGCCTTCCAGCTTTCGCAAATGTCTCCGCGCTATCGTCATTCGCGCAAATCAACTAGCTTTCGCGCAACCGTCTTCGCACTGTCGTCTTTCGCGTAATCGGCATTCGCACTCCTCACTTAGAACCTACACCCAAAAATATTAAGTTTGTTGCTGGCGTTTACGATGGAAACACCATGAATTGCTAAAGTTTAAAAAATTAAAATAATTTTTTACTTAGACTGAACTTCACTGTTGATTGGCGATACAGGATAGAGAGAGATGCTGATGTTACTAAAAAATACTAATAATAATAATTAGTAGCAACATCTTTAGGGACACCGTGTGTCTCTACAACTACAATACTGATATCGGAGTGTAATGCTGTGTAACTTGTATCAGCAATGAAAGCATTTTGTACTATGCAAATAACTTGCTTCCCCTTAGCAGGATAATCTCTATATATATAATTGTTCAGTGTTCAAATTGGTAGACGTTATATGCTATTGCATGTTCTATTTTTAGCGACAGCTACTGCCGACGAAGACTTGTTAATCTGGAACTTTCTCCCGGAAGATAAAACTAAAAAGAAAGTAACAAAATCGAGGAGATTCTCAACTATGCCGGTGTACATGGACCTGACAACACAGGGATTTGTTTTACGTTAAAATATTTTAAGAATTTTGTAAATTTTAAGTCGCTATTGGTTGAATAAATATTTTATAATGTATTTAAATAAAGTTAATTTATAATGATCATGAATGTTTGCTGGTTTTCAAATAAATGGATTTCTTATATTAATAATAATAGTTTTTTTTTTTTTTTTCATTTAAGACAACATGTATTGTAATTGCAGCCACCATTTATATAAATGTAACAAAATGTTTTTATTATACCAAATCTTATGGCGCATCCACACATGCCGCCGGGTTTCAGACCGCCTTGCCGCTGAATGCAGGCCGCCGGCTTTACCGGCCGCCTGCAGATGCGGTTGCAATGTTCGCAGTAGTGTTGTTAAATTATTTTATATATGAATACGACTACACTACCACTCCGTATCGAAGCCGCAAGCAAACTGCCGCCGGCAACCAAAAGCCACGCGTGCCGCGGCTGAGATGAGGCAAATGCCGGCGGCACGGCCGCCGGCCATGCCGCCGGGCATGTGTGGATGCGCCATTAGAATAATAACGCATATAATGATAGTTTCATATCAAACGAACTGTCACAAGTGAGGCAAAAATCAAATGTGAATGTAGGCTAGTTTTGGTAGTAGGTTAATTTTCGGTTTTAGTGAATATTTATATAAAAATACAAGTTGAAACGCGTTACTTCCTTGTGGAATGTGATGTTAGTATCTATTTTATGTTTGTCTGACGTATTTTTACACTCATTTACCGCACAATTCGTCATTTTTAGCTAAAATTCTGGAGCTGTTCGCGGTGCAAGTTGACCTTGAGCACTGACGGCCCGCCCGCTCGTGTAGGCCCGTTTGGCGCGCTTCAATTTGCCTCACTTAGCGTGTGCGGACTAGGTTTCTATGCGTTATTATTCTAAGTACCAAATGACGGGATGAACAAGTCGAGCGCCGTCCACAGCAGTTGCAGTGTCACTCAGAGCTTTAAATCGCAAAGACCTGAGCAGCACTGCCACTGCGCTCGTGACCCTGAGACAAGTCCCATGTGCTTGTAATTTCACCAGCACCCTTCAAAATCCTTAGCCTACATGCAGTACTGCTCGCGTTACTGCTAGGTGGCAGAAATAGGTTTTCTCCTTTCACAAGGTGCTCCTACGAAACGACGTTTTTGTAATGGCGTAACATAGGTGCACATACAAAAAAAATATCGGTCGGTTAAAAAACTAAGTTCACTAGTTAAAAAATCAGGTTAAGGCTATTCTTTACTAGAGAGAATATAACAGTGATTGAAATAATAAGCTCATTCAAACAGGTATAATATTTTATTCACCAATCATCTTAACAGCTAATCATTGCGTATTGCCAACAAATTAATATATTTGAGGAATACATTATGTACTAATAGTGACGTGCTTTGTTCCGGGTCGCCATAACCGAGAATGGGAATATAATACGTTCCTTTAAACAATACTGATCAGTAATTGTATGTACATACACGACTGTACTCCACTCGTCTCTCGTGTAGGCCCAAAGCTCGTCGACTATTTCTAAAATAAATCGATCAATCAAATGTTTACTTGACAAAGTAAAATCCAGTATTTTTTTTTTAATTCGGTTATGGTAGTCCCAGAATAAGGCGCGCCTTTTGGTGTCAAAAATATATTATTATCATACTCATTGTATTAAAGCTTTCTTTTTTAATTTTACATTTGTTAAAAAACATCCCGGGTGCAGTCGACGAGAAAGTATGGGACACCATTCGTAACGAGACGTTGCGTGCGGCACGATACAGATACGTACATATGTCTGAACATCTTAGGAAATTTTGTAATCATAACAACGTACAAATTAGATACGAGCCAAAAAACTGATCGCGCGTCTTCCGGAAAATTCTCGAGAATTCCCGCAGCTACGGTATCATATTGACATGAGGTTCATTATGCTATGCACAATTTCGTTACAAAAATTCTCTTTCAAACATGTAATATAATAATAAAAAACCGCAGACTCGCAGCACTGCCTGTCACTCAGTTGTGTGTGTGTATGTATATAACAAACAGTGCAAAGAGACCATAGCTCAGCGTCGGTGTTGACTTAAAAGCAAACGGCTGGTTTTCAGTTAAAACGTAGAGGGTACCGCGAACAACCAGATAGCTGGCGCCGTTTGCATGTTGTTCAATAACTTAGCAAATAATCATTTGGATACTAAATATCATTATGTGTTTTTTTCTTTGTGCAACAAAGAATTATATATAAATCAGTAACATCATAAACAACAGCTACTTTTCTTCCATGACGTTTTAAAAAACTTAATAAATTAACCAAAAATAAACATTTTCACCTCACTAGCTCGGAAAGATTAGAAATCTGCGCGCGAAAGCGTCTTTTGCACGCTAGAGTGGAGTTTTTGAAATTCGAACTTGACGATGGACTGTGGTGCACCTTCCGATGAAAAAAAAAATTAAACATTGCTGATATAAATAATATAAATCTTATGATGGTTGACATTAAATTGACAATGTTAGCTACTTGTGTTTATTAAATTATTTTAATTCGTGAATAGTCACTCAATCACACAAAATAAATGTACAAGCAAGAGAGGAAGATGTATTATAGAAAAAGTAAAAATATATTAATTAAAATTAAAAGTGATATATGACGAGTTAGACAATTTGTTTTTCCAAACAGAATAATAATAGTAGTAATAATAATAATAGTAGTAGTATGATGTGTTTGAATGTGTATCTATTACTGTATTTTCGTTATCGCTTCTAAAATACAAAAAAAGATGAAAAAACAAAAGAGGTAGCTTAAATGTTACTCCCATTTTATTTTTTTTTTAATAAGCGGTACGAGTAGGTATTTTTTTATTCTCGAAACTATGAACACCGGGCAGTTGGCTGTATGAGTTTTTCTTTTGCCTGTTTACATAGTTCACTGTTAGTAGGTAGATTTAAAAGTTTAGAGAAAGTTTAGAGAAGAGGACTGTAATGGATTTTCCCACTTACTTTTCAGGCCTTGACCCATTGACTTACAATTATATGGACGTCGGGTCCGCGCTAAAAAGTGTCCGAACTTATAGGGCGTTAAAATCGTATACAGAGCGTCATTCACGCTCTAGTCTTCGTTTGTTCGACTGACAGCGAAGCAAGCAAAATTAGACAGTACTGCGATGACATTACAATTTAAATTCAACGGTTTAGCTTTTTCATATTCCTTTACATGTCACTACGTTTAAATAGGTTGACTTGGGACATTTTTTTCGTGGTTTTTGTATTAGACCCGTCGTCCATTTATTTGTAAGCCTTGACCGGTAAGAAGTCGCACGGTCCATAAATGACAAACTTTCCGTGTTCGTTTTTCGAAAATAATGTAAACATTTCCGAGCATTTTTGAGAAAAACCTATTTATTTTTGTATGAAAGTAAAACATGATGAACAAAAGTTTGTTGCTTATGATGTTAGTAACATAGATAACCGTGCGAGGTTTTTAGTATTTTAAAAATAGCTCCGTATAAGTAATACGGCAAGCTAGCAACATAAAATGACATATCGACTGTGAACTGGCAATCGGTACTATCTCAATTTTGACAACTTTACAAGATGATAAAAAAAAAATTGTTTGCGTCATTTATATAGCATCTGGTACCAGCGTATTTTTATTACACATGTATGTATGGTACGTACACTACGTATTTTTATTTCATAATCCATTGACTTACAATTATATGGACGTCGGGTCCGCGCTAAAAAGTGTCCGCACTTGTAAGGCGCTAAAATCGTATACAGAGCGCGACACTCCGCTTTAGTCTTCATTTGTTCTACTGACAGCGCGATACTGCGATGACATTACAATTTAAATTTCGAATAGGTTGACTTGGGACATTTTTTTCGTGGTTTTTGTATTAGACCCGTCGTCCATTTATTTGTAAGTCAATGTCATAATCCTAAAGTTAAAAAGTTGTCAAAATTGAGACAGTACCGGTTGCCAGTTTACAGTCGATATCTAGTCAGCCGAAGGTCGCGCTCCGGCAAAAATGACGTCAAAAAACAAAGATCTGCAAACACAAGTCAAAAAACAAGCATATAGAAAAATTCGTAAGGTTCGTTCCGTAGCTCAACTGGGAAAGCATCAACTACGGCATGGTGAAGGTGCTAGTTCGAATCCAGCCGGATCAAATGAATTTTTCTTTGCATTAACAATTATTAGAGTAATTTCACAAAAAAATAATTAATTAATAATAATAATAACAATAAATTGAATATCATGATAGTAAAACATAGTGAAATTCTATAAACTTATTATTACAACATAAAGTGATTGACGGTTTGACCGTATACTACCACCTCCCCTGTTTACAATACAAACAATATACAATTATTATACAGTAACGTGACAAGCAACCCCGACCAGGGGGGCTACTCCGTCCGAAACAATTACGTACTGACAAATAAGTAATATTCGACCAAATTACAAGAAGCTTGATGCGAATGAAGCTGCAAACTTGACATTGTCTTGATTTGCTCGAGTATTACTTATTTGACAAAATTTGTTTCGGATGAATGTAGGACGGAGAATGGGAGTAAACTCCCTGTACCCATTCAAAAAAAGTTAATTTAGTAATATAACCCAGGACATCCTTATCTAGTGCCCGCAGTGCCAGCCGGTAACACTGAGGTTGTCGGAATCACTTAAAGATCCACTGTCTATTGTGCTCTACACCTAAATTTTGACTACTTATTAAATCCACGTGGTCACAGACGTCCCAATGTAGACGATTTTAAATGGCTTCACATTATTCAGCCCCTTACAACTTAACCATAAGAGACGCATGCACGGCAGTGTAGTAATACTTTAATTCAGCCATGAAATATTCACGCTGCTGTCTTAGCAGAATTGGCGAGCGCTAAGCACCGCTTCTTGAATATGATTGTTTTAATTCGTACAAGGTCATTTAGCTTGCATATCATGTACGACCAGGGCCCCCAAGTCTGCTAACTTTCCTGAAACCATTGGATATTGTAATTACATTGAGATTATATTACAATTATGACAATATTTTACCCAATACACACACACGCACACACATTTTCACACACACACCCATTCACACACAAAAACCACTCAAGCACTCACTCTCTCTCACGCTCACACACACACACACACACATAAAAATGAAAACACTAACTTTTTTAATTACTCCCTATTGTACAAACTCACATATTATGTGCAAAATAGACCTAAGTAAAGAATACTTTAACAGAGAGGTGGAGACCAGGAGTCCTAAGATACAAGGTTTTCCTAGTTTAGGTTCCTGTCTCTCACATACATTAAGTTGTTAATTCCTGCTGTAAATTAGTTTTTAATCGATATTTGCGAGAGAAGATAATCAACTATTATTTGATAGTCTACTAAAATCTAGTTGCAATGGCAGTTGAGTCTGAACAGAGCATCAGTGGAATGGCACCGATGGCATTCATTCATTTCATCACATGCCTTATTAAAATTACCATGGAAATTACTATTAAATAGCTTAATTTTTATCATGTTTAACCAGCAATTTAGTCTTCTATCATATTTAGTAAACTATGTCATCGACGTGCCATCGAAGAGCAGAATACCAAAAAATTACAATGGTAGTAGTTGTAGCTCAACCAAAAAATTACAATGGTAGTAGTAGTAGCTCGATGGCTAGCCACGAACAAGCAACTACTCTTGCCTTTTGAGCAGAATACCAAACCAAGCCTACGTCACTCGCTCGTGGTTACGTGATTAGTGCCTACCGCTGAGTGTATCGCCGGCAGTGCAAGCGCCCAGACAAATCTTTCATTTACTTTACAATCCTTGTATAATCGCATTATACAGCATTCGATTCCGCCCGACTGCTCACGGCGGGCAACCGTATTTTAACCTCTCTCATTTTTTTCGATAGTCAAATTTAGTAGTCTATTATAGCGTAGGTATTTTAGTTTCTGTATGAGAGTGATGTATCTGTTAACTATTAAGTAATCTGTGACCAAACGTACAAAATGCCATTGACACTCTGTGGACACACAACTGAGATGATTAAAAAATAACAGACTTGGGACCCTGGTAAACTCATTGCAGCAGCCACCAAAGACCAAGACGTACCAATGTCAAACCCTCTTCCAACATTCAGGCATATCTTGGTGAATACAAAAATTTATGAGTTTCTCAACCACATTACAATCAGTCATCTACCAACCAACGACTCGATCACCTTATAACCACCATGGCGCACCGGTCACCACGACTAACCTCACCTGCGCCATGGTACACTCATCCCAGAACCACCCAAAGGCCCTGATACTAACGCCTACAGCGCAAAAGACTTAACATCTCTGGCTTAAATAATCCTTTGTCTAACCTTAAACTAATAGAGACCAGATACTGCCATGAAGCGGCTGAGATTACTTAGCAATTAGCTACAATGCATAGAAACAATCGAAGTCAGGAAAATATTTGAGTTCTGATACAACAGGTCAATTGCTACTGGTGGCAATAATGAAGAGCTGAGCAAGCTCTGAATGGAGGCAGGCAAGAACGAAAACGGCTAGGACAAAACCTATCGAGACCGGCCCTTTAGCAAAGGCAGAACTATTCTTGCGAATAAACCTGACTCTGATATCGGATTGGTCCCATTCGAAGGTATTTCTTGTGGACGCTACCATCCTTACATGAAGAAGGTTTCCCGAAACCGAGAAACGTCGGAAGTTCTCGAAGCATGAGTGTTGGTGGCAATTGTGTTCACCGCTAACGGGTTAATTCCAGCCGACCTTTTAAATATTAGACACCATCACATAGATTGCTCTAATCCTAAAGCACTTCTTTTATGAAAACCGGAACCAAACAACGGTGTCACAAATACCCAGACCCGAGACAGTTTAGAATAGTTAGTTGTTCTATACGGACCCGATGGGGTTCGAGGTCCTCAAAGATGGCGACACCATGAAAACCGTTGTGCAAGCTCGACCACATCATTCCTCACTAACAACTTGAGGTTGAAGTTTTTTGGCGTGCAGCTTTCAGCACTAATGCAAGAAGCGGCGCTGCTCGACACGGTGTGTATCTTTCGCCGGTTCTTTAACCTGAATTCCTGATCCCGTCCAACTGTACATTGCCGGGAAATACCGTCTCTCGCCAATTTAAAATTCAACATTTTTTTCGCCTTACGAGTGGCGACAATCGAACATAAATGTCGGAAACAATTATCACAACCATATTACTCTTTTATCTAAAATCAAAAAAGCAAAAATAGAAAAAACTGACCACTGAGATATTTTTGGTTACTTGATCACTCAAATTATTATGAATTTGACAGTGCAACAATCTAATCTAAGTTGCGAAAACCTACTATTAGAGTGTCTTTTACCACTGGAACCTAAGGTAATTGTAAATTAATACTAGTCTAGACACCCAACTATCAACGGATTGACACTAACATAATACTAGCAATATTTGCTGCATTTGTATTTATAATTATTAGTTAAGTTGGTACAAAAATGTACAAGAGAAGGCACTTTTACTAAAGCCATGTGTTTACTAAAGCCATGTGATAGCACCATCATAAATGGTCCTCTAATTCTAAATTCTGAGTGCAATTGTATAATTTATTCTAAATGCAAAATAATTTATTCTGTTATACATTCAAGCTCAATTTTCTATTAAAGAAATACACAGTATCAAAGGCAAACAAGTCAAAGGCTTTGGTGAAAATAAAAAAAATATTTTGCATTTACAATAATAACAAAAAAAAAATTCAAAACATATTCAAAAACTAAGTTTCTACCCAGCTGTAATGGTAGAAATAACCTGCCTACCTAATTTCAGTGCAATAAATTCTAGCATATTATAAACAAGCTCTGTCCTGCTGGCACGACATGCCATCAGTATGTCAAATGCATGCATGATGTCTATTGGATCCAGCGTTCGCAGATAGTTGTACACAATATAGAAAAGCTCTTGCAACTTGTCTTTGATCGTTACCCACAATTCTCGAAGAGTCACCATTGCTGAAAACAGAACGAAATTGTGTCAACATACTTGGTACTTGATACTTGTTGGACAAGGTTTATGAGACAATTAGATAAAAAAAAAATAGGCAACTCATGCTTGACCAGATGGTAAATATGAAAAGATTACACTGGAAATTACGATGACTGCGCACTACTACTACTTACACGACGGTCAGATTCGCCTGAGAAGAATAAGTAAGGAATGTTCGAGATCGGTCTTTGTAAATAGTCAATTATTTATATACTTTTATCAAATTCAATAGATACCATGAATACACTATGAGGAATCGTTGCCACCTGTATAGGATGTTTGGGTATTACAATAAAATATGTATTAAAAATAGTTATGTAATTGAACTGCAGTGCCTCAGCTTTTAAGATCACTTCTTGCATTGTTGTAAGGTGAATAATATATTATTTTTGCTTTATTTCTTTCTATTCTGATATAATAATTCATTTAGCATCCGTTTAAGAACGTCCTACTTTTGAATGTTGAGCACAATTATAATTGGGCCCGCTGTATTAATTTTTAAGTATCGAGTTCTTAGGTTTTTGTTTAGCGATTGTTACACATAGGAAATGAACCTATTTTTCCGGATTTAAATCATTAAATATATTTGTTTTTTCAAACAAACCGACGATTCGGGCCCTTTACAGGACCCATGGTCACGGTTGACTGAGGTGGTACAGTCTTCAACCAGTTATGTCTAATATTGATGAAAACCACCCTATTTTTTCACTATAGTTACAATAGTTATTAATTAAATACCTTATTTTTAATTTTACAAAGAAAACATTCCAGTTTACGCTACATTAAGTTTTACAAATTATTTTATTGAATGAATTTTTATTAAGTTCAATTTATTATTAATTAATGACCTGGGTTTTGTCAAACTTCATTAAATGTGTAGGTTTATCCATGATATGCTCGCAGACTGCAAACTTGTTTACGCTATGATGTTTGACATGAGCTATATGTTCTTTGACGCAAGTACAAATACTTCGCTTTGTTTGTCCAATATAAGAGAGACTGCACTCACAATCAAGCTTGTAAACTCATGCATCCTGTAAGGGGATGTTACATTTCACTTTGTTTGTTTGAAAAAACAAATATACGCGATTTAAAACTAGAAAAATAGTTTCATTTCCTATAATTTTTAAGTGTTTTCTTTTCTACATTCTTTATGTCTGATGTCTGTTATTGTACTATAAATAAAAAAAATAAAAAATGTAAGTATGCAACAATCTTTAGTATTAGGTTTTTGTTTCACTATAGCTCGAGCCTCGGAAATGGCAAATTTATGTACTTCTATATTACCATACAGAAGTACATAAATTGCCCCTTAAATGAACTTGTGACTTTCTGAAACAACTGTCAAGAACAACCACTTTATTTTTATTTGTCAAATTAATATTATGTGTATTACTATTTTTCATGAATAAATTACTATTATTTATATTATAAGTAGCATAAATGTACTGTGATGCTAATATAAGAAAGTATGTCTGGGGGATTATGATCTCCCCTATATATCCATTCTCCACAGTGAGTTGTGCTAAAGTCGCCACAGCAGCAATTGCAATTGTGCACTTACCAACAACTCCAAGGCCAGTGGCGCTACCCAAACCGGCACCAACAGCGGCTCCAAGCCTCCCACCAGCATAGATGCCCACCAGCCCCCCCGCCACCGCACATACACCCGCCAATATAGCTGTGCCGCGGTCCCATGAAATGCGAATGTCAAACATGTCTCCTGGGAATACAAGCAAATATTCAGTCAAATCAGAATTCTATTAAAGCGTTATAAAAAATATAGACACTAAAGATTTAAATTCAATGGCAGTTTACAATAAGAATGGTCTAAAATTATGACTGACAAGCTCTTGGCTGTACCTCACCCTTATTAACACCTATACCACCAAACAATGTACACAAGGCAGAAATGGCTTTTCAAAGCTGACTAGAACTCGTAGTGGAGACTGGCTAGAATAACACACATATTCTACCTCAAGCTGAGTGAGAGGAGAGAATGTATATACCAAAAAGTGGATGGCAAACATATGCTCCAGCCAGAAGAGATAAAGACAATACGATCTAAGTAAATGCTACTTCTATAATTCTGTTGATCTTGGCTCCAGGTTGCAATTAGTGGTGATCAAGTTTATAGCTGTTTGCAGTGATGGCGGACTCCACTCTAATATTAAATTTTAGAAATAATCAAAATAATTCATTTTCTAGCAGAAGAACTCCTTGTAAGAAAGTGCAATAAGGAAAACCCCGCCACGGTACCTATTTCTGCCGCCTAACAGTAATGTGGCTGTAAAGTAAAAAGTAAAGGGTTAGATTGCTGTTAAAATTACATAGGCACATGGGACTTGTCAATTCTGTCTCAAAAACTGTGATTTAATGGTACGAGTGGCACTGCGTTACGATAGGCACGTCGTTTTCCACCAAGCGCAAAGCTCATAAAAAAATGTAAGGTACTTAATCTACAATGTGATCTTTGACCGCCGGATATTATGTAGAGAGTTTGGCAAATATTTACGTAGGTATAAAGTTAATAATAACACTCACCAAGACGTAGAATTATTTCTTCCAACCAATGAGGATCGAACCTCTGGTCCATGCCGACATACCGTTCAACATCCATGTCATTCAATTAAATAACAGTAAAACACGCTTTTAAGTATTTTGGAAAGCAAAACAGCAACGAAATATTGCGTAAATAACATTGACTTGTAAATAACGATAAATTTTGTTGGCATTGGCAAGCAATACGCGAGCAGCAGTGACAGTGACAGCAAGACAGCAACGGCTGACAGAATGCGAACGAAAGGAGTGACAATTAATTGTCGTAGTGAACGAATGGAAAGCGATGATGAGCAAAGAGCGAATACGCCATAAAAATTAATTTAAAAATCTACAGGACACTTGAGGACACAGAACAATTTTCCGTGCTACAGGACGTCGGTCCCAAGGCTATGGGACACGAAGGGAAAGTAGTACAGTAGGTAGCAGTAGAGCTCCGTGTGAAAGCGTTCGTCCAGGAAAGCTCTGCCACCTTATCTATTTCTGCCGCCTAAAGCGGTAATGTGAGCACAGTATTAGAATATGTTCCCTAAAAAAGTGAAACTTGTAAAACTCCAAATTCCCACCCTTTTCGGCTAGTAGACATTTTGGAGTCATCTTAATCTAACATCTTTGGTCTATCGTATTGCGGTTCTGTGCCGCGTTCCGGAAACCGCACACCTAATTTTGAAAGTAGTAAACACAACCTATTTAATTTTCAATCGAGAGAGAAACCGTATCGTTAAATTTGTATGTTGAAAACACCTGCAGCGTCGTCGATCCCTAGAAAAATGTTTAGTAAATGTTACGTGACGCAAATCTCCCGATCGTGTAAATCAGGACTTCTCTTGGATCTATGATGAAATACAATGGTTGTTGTTGAACTAAAAAACATGGCGGAACATAGCCTGAACATTAGAATAATAACGCAAAGAATGATAGTTTCATATCAAACGAACTGTCACAAGTGAGGCAAAAATCAAATTCATGTAGGCTAGTTTTAGTAGTAGGCTTAGGTAGTAGGTAAATTTTCGGTTTTAGTCATTGACTTGTTTTAGTGAATATTTATATAAAAACACAAGTTGAAACGCGTTACTTCCTTGTGGAATGTGACGTTAGTATCTATTTTATGTTTGTCTGACGTATTTTTACACTCATTGACTGCACATTTCGTCATTTTTAGCTAAAATTCTGGAGCTGTTCGCGGTGCAAATTGATCTTGAGCACTGAATGCCCGCCCGGTCGTGTAGGCCCTTTTGGCGCGCTTCAATTTGCCTCACTTAGCGTGTGCGGACTAGGTTTTTTTTATGCGTTATTATTCTAAGAGCCTGAACCCTCTCTTTCGAGATAATGATCGTTACTAACATACCTTTGTTACTAACACCTGTTAGCGGTTGATAAAAAATAGTAAGGTTAAATTCGAATACATTTGTGGGCATTTATAATTTTAATTTCCAGTGTCAATCGTCAAAAAATATACGCTGATCTCTGAATATATGTTGATCGTCTATAGGTACTGTAACTAAAACTTTCGTACGATTTTGGCTGAATAAACGTATCGATCGTCAAAACATCGAGCAAATCTGTAGGCACGTTAAGGCTCTCCATCAGAGATGGGCAAGCATCCGGATTTTAACCCGGCGCTTTGTTAACGCCGGGTTTAAATAGGGTTCAAACAAAATCGAGAGCCAAAAACTATTTACAGTTGATTATATGTTGTAAATCGAGTTTTCTTGAAATTTAATGTTATTATTACAACAGTTTATTACTTTCTAGATCCAGAAAGCGACGCACTGTGATTCCCCCATAGGCCATAAATCAAAAAAAATCATTGGCTTATCCCGGTTAGATCAACTCACTAAGTTAGTAACTAGTTAACAAGCTTCCAAAAACTATAAATATCAATGTAATTAGGTCACGTTATCATTCACTTTTGTGCATCGGAAGTGAGCGCATCGCGAGACTAATTATCACCACGTGTGAGTCATCGAAACTTAATCACTTTGTTTTTGAGTGTCACTATTCCAAATCAAGTGTTTACGTGTTGTGAAAGCATGGAGATCCAAGAGCATGGTATGTACTTTTATTATCAATTTTTTTTAATTTTTTTTTATGCATATTTTTTTTATATAATTTTTTTATTGAAGGCAGTTTTTTGGTGAAAATTTTTGGCATAACTTAATTTCCTTTAGACCTACAACTTTTGGCTGCGCTGAGCTGCACCTGAGGTATATGGTTTTTGAATAAGGA